GAGAGGAGAGACAGAGAAGAAGATCTTCCCTCCGATGATTCACTCCCCAAGTGAGCGCAACGGCCGGTGCTATGCCGATCCAAAGCCAGGAGCCTCTTCTGGGTCTCCCACGCGGGTGCAGGGTCCCAAAGCTTTGGACCGTCTTCGACTGCTTTCCCGGGCCACAGGCAGGGAGCTGGGTGGGAAGCGGGGCCGCAGGGATAGAACTGGCACCCATAAGGGATCCCGGGCATGCAAGGCAAGGACCTTAACCACTGTGCCACTGCGCTGGGGCCCCAGATTATCTTTCATCATGGGCCAGCAATTCTTAGAGGCACCTCTGCTTGTGTGGTTTATCCGTTCACACTGAAGGACACCTGTGTTGCTTCCACCCATGAACTTGGGTGTGCAGGTATTGGCTCAGGTCCTTGCTTTCAGTTCTTTGGGGCATGTGCCCAGAAGTCAAATCATAAAGACTTAAGTTTCTATACTTGTTGCTGATCGGCTAGGTTTCCCTATAATCTTATATTTATGAATTTCAATTTTTGAACCCAGATAAAAACTTGCCTGCATAGCTAACTTTTTTTTTTTTACAAATCATTATCATTATCTCAACCTACTAAGATAATTATACCTATTTGTGTCTAATTGCCACAAAACACAATAGTGATCATTTCCATCATTAGCTTTAGTGTGAGAATGGCCACCAATCCACAGGTTATATCACATAACAGGAACATTAATGAGAAAAGCAGAACTAGCCTTGCTCCCACTCAGTCCACACCATCTACCCCATGATTAGTGAACTCTCATGCATTTTTGTACTCTGAGTTTTTTTCTATACTCCCATTGATTTTTCTTTTTTTTTTTTTTAAAGATTTATTTTTTTAATTTTTATTGGAACGGCACATATACATAGAGAAGAGACAGAGAGGAAGATCTTCCGTCCGATGATTCACTCCCCCAGTGAGCGCAACGGTCGATGTTATGCCGATCCAAAGCCAGGAGCCTCTTCCTGGTCTCCCACGCGGGTGCAGGGTCCCAAAGCCTTGGGCCGTCCTCGACTGCTTTCCCAGGCCACAGGCAGGGAGCTGGATGGGAAGAGGGGCCGCCGGGATAGAACCGGTGCCCATATGGGATCCTGGGCGTGCAAGGCAAGGACCTTAACCACTGCGCCACTGCGCCGGGCCCCTCCCATTGATTTTTCAAGTAATACCTGAGGGCAATCTCTGTTACCCTGGCATAAGGATGGGGCAGCAGAAACATCAGCTAACAAAGTCCCCTGTGGGAAAGTAGGTATGGAGGGAAGTAGCTAGTCAATAATGAGACACATATAAATTACATGTGGTTCAGCTTACATCAGAAGGGGAGGGGGAACCCTCATTTTTCTAAATTTGATAACTTCATTGAAGATAGGTGAATCTGTCCAGAGCAGTAGGCCAGGAAGTGGTAGGCAGACAGGCAACCTACATCGTCAGCACATATGTTATCCTTTAGAGGCAATGTTGTTAGACATCTTTGCATATCTTAGCCACAAACTCAACTGGTTTTGGCATTTATTTAACTGACCTCACCATGCAGGGCAGGACTTACTCCCTCCTCAGACCCCTCCCATAATATCTCCAGGAGCATAAGAATAGCACGCTTCTAAAGCATTTGGTATTCTTGGCATGCTTGTAGTGTAAACTTGGACAAAGTCTTGGACAGAGAGGTGAAATATGGAGGGAAGGACAAATTCCCTAAAAAGAAAAACTGTAACAATGATTGCCTAAATCCAATAGAGTCCACACACGTTGTTCCAGTTCTCTATCTTTATATAACAGGCTACCCCAAAACCTAATGGGTTAAAATCACTCCCAGTTAATTACATCCCTGGATCCAAGCATATCTTGCCTGTGAAATTCTTCTATTCCAGAAACAAGGATAGAGGTAAGTCACCTGGTGGCATCTGACAGGGCAAATGGCCTGGTTTGGCAAGTTGAAGATGGCCACATTCGGGTCTGGAGTCTGAGTAAGGCTTGCATGAAGGCTGGGTTCAACCAGGACTATCACCTGCAACACTTTCCAACATGGCAATCTCAAGATGATCAAGTGCCTTATGTGATAACTCAGAATACCAAATGAGGAGTTCCACAGAACAAGGTTGGAAGGGGCTGACCTCTTAAATTGAGCTGTGGAAATCATCTAATGTCATCTTCACTGGCCTCTACTGTTTGAGGAGGAGTGTCAAAGAACTCGCAACCATGTCTGATAGTTGCCAGATACATGTGTGTGTGTGATGATATAACTGCATATGTATATGCAGCTAATCATGGTATCCCACCAACTTTGACATTCAAGGGGTTATGGGAGGAGGAAGATATCACATCCTATTGGGACAGCTGAAGTTTTATGGATGAAGTGAGGTATGGTCTTTAAACTAGGCCCTAAAGGATAGAAATGGTATTCCTAAGATGGAGATGGAAAAGGAGGCATGAGAGCAGAGATAACGGGACAAAACTCATCATGAGAAGCAGAGGACTCTAAGGGTAAGTCTCTGAGAAAGGGGAGTAGGCTTCAAGGACTGAAGTCTTTGAAGAGACCAAAAATAAGGTAGGGGTGAGCAGGAGTTACTGAGCACCCTGCAGAGGACAATGTAGAAGATGTGAAGTGGTCTGTAGGTAGAGGGCAAGTGGCTAGCAGAAAATGAACCATCTGGGCCCTCCAAGATGGGGCCAGCATTCCCTGAGGCTGAGACATTGAGGATGGGTGAGTGACCACCCAAAAAGTAAGGAAATACAGCTTTCCTGTAGGATAAGAGTGAGGAAAGAGGGCCTAGTATATTCTCAGTGGCTAAATCCTCACCTTGCATGCCCCTGGATCCCATATAGGCATTAATTTGTGTTTCAGCTGTTCCACTTTCCATCCAGCTCCCTACCTGTGGCCTGGGGAAATAGTGGAAAATGGCCCAAAGCCTTGGGACCCTGTGCCCGCATAGGAGACCAAGAAGCTCCTGGCTTTGGATCGGCTGAGCTCTGGCCATTGCAACTACTTGGAGAGTGAACCAGTGGATGGAGGATCTTTCTGTCTCTCCTTTTCTCTGTAAATCTGCCTTTACAATAAAAATAAATAAATAAATTTTTAAGAGCAAGGAAAGAAAGGAAATACTGACCAGAACAATTTCAAGTGCAGACAAGGGTGGTTGTTCACTGGAAGGGGAGTCACTGGTGATGACACTAGACAGTTTAGTGAGTGGAGATGAAAATAAAAGTAGGAGATTCTTAGGAAACCCCGGAGGTAGGCAGATGTTCAGCTAGGTATTACATTAGAATTAAATCATTGTTCCAACTCAGCTATACTTATTTATTTTTAATTATATTTAAAAATTTTGAGATTGAGACAGAAAGAGGAGAGGAAGAAAGAGTGGTTCTAACCTCTGGTTCAATTCCTAAATCATCCACAATGGCCAGAACTAAGCCAGGAGCAGGGATCTCAATCCAGCTCTTTCACATGGGTGCCAGGGACCCAAGGACCTCAGCTAGCACCTGCTTGCACGCCAGCGAGTGCATCAGCAGCAAGCTGGAGCTGGAAGGGGAGCTGTGCTTCTATGTTATTTGCCTCCGTTTCAAGGTGTCCTGAGCAGTATTCCTTTTCTTTCCCTGCTCTTATCCCTCAGAAAAATGGTGCTTCCTTATTTTCTGGGTGAAGCTGCTAAGTCACCCAGAGCAAGGCACTCTAACATGTAAGCCATGTCCCAAACTGTGGCATAATCATTATTCCAAACACTTGCTCCCAATTTATTTCCCCTTTCTGGTCTTTTTATTATTATTAGTTATTATCATAAAAATAATACATCCACTGCAGGAAATTTGAAAATTATTTCAAAATACAGGGAACAAAATTCACTGACATACTCCACTATCAGCGAAAGACAACTGTTAGGAGTTAGCTGCTTTTACTTGCATGCAATCTACAATTCTGTTTTACAATGTAAAATGCAAATATTTAGCAAGTCCAAGAAACTGCACTGCTTTGCTCTTGCTTCAGTAGTCTTCAAACAGGACCTTAAGAGATACCATAACTTACTCAACCAGTTCCCTTTTCTAGAATATTTAGAATGTTTCCGGTTCTGCATTATTTCATGCACCTGTGTGGCGCTTAGGAGCACGCATGCACACACACACACACACACACACACACACACACACACACACACACACACACACACACACACACACACACACACACACACATATAGGTCTTGCTGGGTGACCTCCTGTGTGCCTCTTGGCTTCACAGGCGCCGTTTTCTAGGACACATCACTCAGGGCGTACACAGTCTTTCAAGGCTCTGAAACAGCGCCAAATCACCTTTCCGGAAAGGGGACACCGGTTTTTAACTCCACAAGGCGCTCACTGTGTCTATATTTGCTTGCCCTTACAAAGAACCGTCCCAGCTGTTCCCAGTAGTCATCAACACATTGGAAACTTTCTTCATGGCAAAACCCAAGTTGATGATTAAACGAATCCGAGTTCGGAAAGAGCCTTTCGCAGGGGCCTCTACGGAGGGGATGCGTGGGTGGGAGGAGACTTCGGACACTCAGGCAGTCTCTGGCACCAGGTTACTCCCCTGTGAGGTCAATGACACAGAGAAGGCAAGTGTCTCTGTGCTCACTATTCCAGGGATGATTGGGACGAAATAAAGTGGAGAAGCGAGAGTGGCTGGTACCAAGGGGTTTCCGACCGCTGGCGCATTGCTGGAGGTCCAATCCCCTTGGATTTGGTTCCCAGACCCCAGAAAGGGGAGCAGGAGGAGCCGAGGCAGCCGGGCAGGGGAGTCTGGCGCGCCCACTTCCCTGGCAGGGGGACTCTCGGGCCTCACAGCGGCTCAGTCCCCGCGCACCAGCCAAGTTTGCGCGCCGTCTCCGCCGACTCTCAGGTTACCTGAGCTGGCAACCACGTCAGCGCCACATCATCTGAGCTTTTTATATTGCGAGGAAACAGGAAAAGAAGGAAGAAAAACAACGCCGAAGGGAGCCAATCGCAGGGAGACGGCGCTGCCCGGAGGAGCGCGGCGGGCGTGCGAGCGCGCCACGGGAGCAGGCGTGGGGCCGGGCCGGGCCGGGGCGGGAGCGGCGGGCGGAGGGGGCGGCAGGCCGCGCTCGGGCCGGTCTGCGGCGTAGGCTTCGGCTTTGGCATTGGCGGTGGCGGCGGCGGTGAAGATGCTGCAGTCCCTGGCCGGCAGCTCGTGCGTGCGCCTGGTGGAGCGGCACCGCTCGGCCTGGTGCTTCGGCTTCCTGGTACTCGGCTACCTGCTCTATCTGGTCTTCGGTGCCGTGGTCTTCTCCTCGGTAGAGCTGCCCTATGAGGACCTGCTGCGCCAGGAGCTGCGCAAGCTGAAGCGGCGCTTCGTGGAGGAACACGAGTGCCTGTCAGAGCAGCAGCTTGAGCAGTTCCTGGGCCGGGTGCTGGAGGCCAGCAACTACGGCGTGTCGGTGCGCAGCAACGCCTCAGGCAACTGGAACTGGGACTTCGCCTCCGCGCTCTTCTTCGCCAGCACCGTACTCTCTACCACAGGTAGGAGGCTGCCGCAGCCCCCCGAAAACTGCCACCGCGCCCCACACCCCCCGTTCTGGCTTCCCTGACTCGCCCACCCCTGGCCTCTGCAGCCCACTTGCTCCTGGGGCACCTCGGCCCACCATCCTTCCCGCCCCTACGGTGCTCCGATCTCCTCGAGCCCACCCTCCCAGGTACTGTGGTCCCTCCCCGCGTCTGTACTGCAGTGACTCGGGAAGGGCAGGTGCCGCGAGCCGGAAACCGCCAAGGTGGACTGGGTACTAGACTTGGGTGTTGCCGCCTGTAACTCCAGTGCAATGGTCCCTACGCCCTTCCGCCTGAGCGGCCGCAGGTGCCTCCATACTCTGAGTTTTTTTGGTGGGAATACCTTGCCCCGATCCGATCCGCTGTGTTGGAAACCGTAGCTCCCTGGCCTTCGAGCGCTGGGGACACCGGCCACTGCTCGCGGGCGCCCACCCTCTCCTGAACCGGTTGTGGAGGCCGGAGGTCGCAGAGTCTGATACTTCTTTGCTCACGGGTCACCTTCCCAAGGGTGACCTTCTCTTTTGCTCTCGTATACCTATTTTGGCTCTTTGGTGCGTGGTAGGTAGTTTAGGAGTAGCCGGGTGACATCACCCGGCGTCTGGCGTGTGACCTCTGAGCGCACATCCCCATCAGAGGGGCAGGGAGAGGAAAGGGGAGCATGGGTTGTCACCGGTGTGCCTAAATGGAACATTTGATGCAGCAGGGATTTCAACTGTAAGTGTGTTAGGCTCATGGTAAAGCTTGGAAGCCTCAGCGGCAGGATGCTCAGGAATTCAGAGTCCTCCCGAAGAGGTGCCTGCCCCGTGGCGCTGGGACGGCAAGAGGACATGAATAGCCCTCAACTTTCCCCTGCTGTGGCTCGCCTACGTTCCTGGGCTGAGGTGCTGGAGGCGCCTTTAGCTCAGTTACTTCTGGTCCCCAGGGTCCAGTCCTGGCAGCAGCCGTTCTTGGTGTGTACAAGGTCACCCACGTCTTCATTACCTGTGTGCTGCCGGCTTCTGGGCCTTGAAATTTCCCTGCAGTAACACTGTGTAACCTCCACCCCTCTTCCCCACCCTCACAGCTGATTCCATCCTTAGGAGCCCAACCCATCCTTCATTCCCAGCCCTTGTCCACTTCACAGGATTCAGTTATTTATGATCCTCCTGGGCTCTACCCACGTGGTTGTTTTGGCAATGATTTGGTCATGAGTAATAATAATAATAATACAATAGATCACATGAAACATTCTTGAGTCCAGGGTGAATTACTAAACTGATATAACTTTATCCTAATACTAAAGAGAAGTGTCCTTGTGGCTTGCCATTGCTGTTTTTCAAACTGTGTTTAAGGTAGTCCCAAACAAGCCAGACCTGTTACCTCACTTTCCAAAGAATGTTTGCTCCTGTGCCAAACACTGTCTGTGGCCCTGCCCTGGCGGTATACTCTGATAGCTTAGAAGTCGCTGTGCGTTTTTCTGGTGTAGGGGCCGGAAGGCGGCTCCTTCGCTCGCACAGAAGTGGATGAGCCCTGGGCTGCAGGGCACTTGAATCCAGGCCACAGTGTTGGATAAACCTGCCTAACAGTGATGACAGCTTTCAGGGTTTTCCTAGCAATGGCCTTTTGAAAATGAAGCAGGAGTAAAACAGTGCTAGGACAGCAACCAATCTTTGCTTTTTCCTGGGTGAGTGTTGCTGTCCCTGATGAAGATCACATTCTATGGACCTAATTCAAAGGCAAAGATTAAATTTTGATAATCACTGCCTTTTTTTTTAGTGTATAAAGGTAGAGGTAGAGAGAGATGTCATATTATTGGTATAGAGTTTACCTTGTTGGTCCCTGCGTTCCTGTAAAACAAGAGTTCATTCAGGAAATCGGGGCAAAGGGCACGTCGGGTCAGGATAAACTAAGTGAAAAAAATTGCCTTTGGGTTTGTAAAGTTAGTAGATGAATGAACTCTTGTTATGTGAATAGAAGTAGTCTGGAAGATATTTGCTTGTTAGTTTTGTACGCATCCATTATTTGACAAAGTTGAGGTTCTTTAGAAGTTCAAAGCACTGATGTTTGTGCCAAAAGTTAAAGACAATTTTTAGAGTAAAGCTAATATTCTTAATTACTAAGACAATAATGTTCTGGAGAAAGAACCAGAAAACAAATGTTTACAGAGATTGCTTTTTTTTTCATATGGTTGTTAGTTTGAGGTTTTCTTTTTTTTTTTTTTTAAACTCTTCCAGTTCCCTCGATGGTGAATTGCTGAGAAAATCGTCACTGATTTAGACAATATATTCAGTCCTTTTCTTGTTCTAGATGAGATTGTTGGGCATCGTGAAGGCACTGTCCTTGGAAGTCATCATGTAGCAGCTCCGTGTGTACATATCTGTCAGAATGCAGTTATTTTTATGTATGTATTATTATTATTATTATTATTATTTTTTATCAAATAAAGTACATCGTTCCAGTTTTGGAAGTCAAGGGGTGAAGGCTTCACGAGGGAGACGCAGATTGGTGATTTCCCTTCCTTCCCTGCTCATCTAAGGCCTCTTAGTTGTTGTTGAGCCATTCCAGGGCTCGTGGCTGGTGAGGCACCTATGATCAGAGAGAATGACAGAGAATCACACACACTTGTTGAACATAAGTTTTGCTGACCCAGCATCCTTCAGGAACGGACAAGGACATCCCTGTCCTCCAGGCACGGGCCACGGGGTGCACTTCTCTGGCATGAATGTCTTCGTCTTAGGGAGATTCGAGGATCCCTTTCTGAATTGCTTTAAGGGAGAAGAGGTGGCCATGGCCGTCCTGCTCCTACTGTCGCCTCAGATGCCAAAATACCCTATTTGGAGTAGATATCCAGAATTCTTTCACCCTTCACTTAAAAAAAAAAAAAACGAATATGAACAGAGTGATTATATAAGAGTAAGACAAAGAGTAAGAGTCTTAAAGAGAAGGTTGTGTACATGTCAAAGGAAAAAAGATAACATTTCCCTTATAACTTATATATATATATATGATTTTTTTTCTCAAAGATTAAGAAAAAAAGGTATAGATGATATTCGAGGAACAGTTTTTTAACTAATAAAGTTATCTTATAGTAGCCCTTGAAAACTCTGAGCCACGTCATTCTTTTTTTTAAATTTTTTTAAGATTTATTTTATTTTTATTGGAAAGTCAGATATACAGAGAGGAGGAGAGATAGAAAGGAAGATCTTCTGTCTGCTGATTCACTCTTCAAATGGTTGCAACAGCTGGAGCTGCGCCGATCCGAAGCCAGAAGCCTGGAACCTTTTCGAGGCCTCCCACACAGGTGCAGGGTCCCAAGGCTTTGGGCTGTTCTTGACTGCTTTCCCAGGCCACAAGCAGGGAGCTGGATGCAAAGTGGGGCTGCTGGGATTAGAACTGGCGCCAATATGGGATCCTGACGTGTGCAAGGTGGGGACTTTAGCCACTAGGCTACTGTGCCAGGCCCCATATCAGTCATTCTTAATAACAATTTGGGTTGTTGGTTTACTGGAAATCTACCTATTTATTCATCCTCTCTAAGCAAGGCTGTGGGATGATGACGATGTTTGCTCAAACACAGTTTTTGTATTCATGCAGTTTAGAAGCTGTCATCGCTTGTCCCTGCTTTGTAAATGAGGGAACCATGTGACAGCTTGGAGCCTGCTTTCTTTCATCTGTAGCCATAGTACCTTTAGTCAGGAAGGTGCCTTACCTAGCCATCTGGTGCAGAGATATTTGTAAACCCTTAGTTCACCCATGCAGTAAGAGAAACTCAGCTGAGCTTGCTTTATTGTGATCTGTGACTCAGTCAGTTGTGGAGCTGTCTTGGCAGTTTTTCCAAACAGATCACGGAAATGGAGTGTTGGTTTGCTCCTTGGTCTGCACCTGGTGTTCAGTAGAAGTGTGTTATTACCATCAACAAGCAGTTACTGAGCACTTAAAATAGAGCAGGGCAAATGACCACCCTTCTGCCTGGTCTGGTCTGTCACCTGCCTTTGTGTAGCCTGGGCTCAGAATGGTTTCAGTAATTTTCAAGTGGTGTGAAAAATAAAAACAAAATTACTGGGAGTGGGCATTTGGTGGAGCAGTGGACATCACGTGGTTCATTAGTATCTCTTATTGGGGTGCAACTCTCTGATCCTGGGTTCAACTCTCTGAACCTGATTCCAGATTCCTGTGAATGCTCACCCAAGGAGGCAACAGGTGAGAAAGCTCAAGTAGTAAGGTGCCTGTTTCCCATTAGGGAGACCCAGATGGAGTTTTGGGCTTCAGCTTGGCTCAGCCCCAACTGTTGTGGGTGTGGAGAGAGAAAGCTGGCAGCTGGAAAATCTCTATTTGTCTTTCAAGCAAATAAATGAATTTTAAAGTAATGGGAAATTCTACATTTTAATACACTGAAGTATTAAGAAAATCAGATTGCATGGTTCATAAATAAGAATTTGTTGGTGTGCAACCAGACTCCTTTGCTTACAATGTATGACCACCATCCACTATAGTGGTAAGTTTGAGTAGCTATGATAGAAAGCACGTGATCATGAAGACAAAACTATCTGATTTTTTATGGAAAAAGTTTGCTGACCTCTACATGAGAATGATTTGTGCAAGGAGCTTCAAGAGAGTGGTCCTGAGTGCTTTGCTTGCTTTTGGCAAACTTTCTATCAGACAATTCAGATTCTTAGACTTCTTTGTGCTGTTGGGTTAAGTGCTATGCAGCATCTGAATTATGCATTGCCACCAGCAACCACTTCCAAATAAGTGGTTGTGTATTGTAGGATGTGGGTTAGTTTTATGTAGATTTTATGGCACTGTTTTTTCCTTTTTCCTCCCAGTGGTGACAAAGCTACAGTTCACATTGATTATCTTAACTAAAACATGCAATAAATTCTATATTTTATCTGGAGTAGAAGTGATGACAAATATAAACAAGCCAACTCTGTGTGATCCAGAGGTAGATCTGAAACCCTGTGCACGGGCTTGTGCTCCTTATTTGCAGCAGAGTC